CAGAGGAGGGCAACCAAAATGGTCAAAGGCCTGGAAATGATGCCTTATGAGGAACGGCTAAGGGAGCTGGGCATGTTTAGCCTGGAGAAGAGGAGGTTAAGGGGTGATATGATAGCCATGTTCAAAATATATAAAAGGATGTCACATAGAGGAGGGAGAAAGGCTGTTTTCTGCTGCTCCAGAGAAGCGGACACGGAGCAATGGATCCAAACTACAAGAAAGAAGATTCCACCTAAACATTAGGAAGAACTTCCTGACAGTAAGAGCTGTTCGACAGTGGAATTTGCTGCCAAGGAGTGTGGTGGAGTCTCCTTCTTTGGAGGTCTTTAAGCAGAGGCTTGACAACCATATGTCAGGAGTGCTCTGATGGTGTTTCCTGCTTGGCAGGGGGTTGGACTCGATGGCCCTTGTGGTCTCTTCCAACTCTATGATTCTATGATTCTATGATTCTATGATTCTAAATCAGAAAATGATCTTTCAGATACAATTTACTGCCGCAGGTTAAGACTTGCCGTTGTGAACCCAGTTATAGAAGCGGGTGACTAAACACCCAAGTGAATACAATTGCATGCAACTGTTTCATAATGAATAGCTTATCTATCTATTGGACTTAAAGCCCACCCTATTTAGAGAACTCACATTAGGCAACAGTGTTTGAAAGCTTCCTCTACACTATCCCTGGCCACTGGGTGCCAGTCTGCAAAAGAAAGAAAAAAATCTTACAATATTTCCAGAAGTCGAATCTGCAAAGAAACAGAATTTCGCTGCCAACAATATCTCCCTGTTGTAGGCCCTTACGGACTGATTTGGCACATTTAGGGAGCATTCCCAGCCAATCTTAAACATCATCCTAGTCAAGCTCAAGCCACTAGGCTCCTTGAATGGCACTTGGAGATCAAAAGGGAGCTAATGCCAACATTTGAATCCTGGTGCAAGTTATTCTCAATAATCTTCTCGCATCAGAAGACAGTGGATCAGTGTCTTTTGCATCACCTGAACCCTGTGAATGGTAGTCCTGCAAAATGTTTAATACAGCGGGCTAGCCTCAAATCTATGAAGGTACAACATGACGGCCACTAGGTGTGCACCACTATGCAAAAGCAAATCTTCTATCCATGAAGCTGGTAGAAACCACTTCTGGCAAAACCGGGAGGAGGAGGACTGTAGCTCAGTGGTTAAGAGCACCTAATCTACATGCAGCAGGTACCAGGTTCAAGCCCCGGCATCTCCAAGTAGGACTTGGGGAAACTTCTGCATGAAAGCCCGGTGCACCACTGCCAGTCAGTGCAGACAATACTGAACTAGATTAACCAGGGGTCTGACTCAGTACAAGGCAGCTTCCCATGTTCCAGCACCAACACCTGGAACCCAGGCACCTCCCAAGGCTACAAAACTGAGTGACCAGAAGGGACAAACCCAGAAGCATTGGGAATTCCAGTCCCCTCAGTTGCAATGCCTGCCAGTCATTACCGTGGCCACCAACTCTGACAGCTTTAAAATAGGACTAGACAAATATATGCAGGAGGTGGCTATCAATGGCTACTGGGTCATGATCCTCCCTCAACTGTCATCAGGCTGCAGGGGAGAAAGAGAGAGATGGGACCACAGAGCCTCTCCATTGTCAGGATGCATTAAATAAGTAAAATACATGGAAACATGAGCAGAGCAAACTATGTTTATACTCTGAAACTATGTCCATTAACTTCAATAGGTTGACTCTGAGCAGAACTAGTGTTGGACACAACCCGGCCTTCTGAATGTGAGCAGCAGCGGCTGAGGAATAACTTGCAAAACCTTCTAAGCGATCCCTGAATTGGGCAATGTGCACAATGCAAGGATATTATGTATCCTTAAAGTGCTCATCTCAAAACACTAGTCCACAGTCTGCTCCGGCAGACGATGGATTTAGAGGACCTGAGAGAGTAAACAGTGCGGACACCAACATATCCCAGCCAGCTGTCTGCCACAAGTTAATTTAGCAACCTGTTTACAGCTGGGGAGAAAGTCTATCCCAAACACACATGCCAACTTGGCAAAGGGCTTAATGAAAATCCTGCAGCGGTCAAATGGAGTTCTGATGGCGGGTATAAATAACTGTGTCGGCCCGCCCCAACGTGACAGTGGCCATTTGGAAGCCGTGAGAGGTATGCAGAGGGAGCCCACCATGCTTCGATTCTCGGGATGCTTGTAGCCAGGCATCTGATAACAAAATGAAAGGCTGGATAACTGGAAATAGTTTTCACCCTATAAAACTATCCAATACAGTTGAAGTTCTCCGTGCCTGCTTTTTTGCCGCATGGCCCCGGAAGAGCCATGGATCGAACGGATGAACTGGCAAAGATGCAGGGAGAGGATAAGCCCGCACCATGAGGATAATATTCACCTGTACTACGGGAGATTACTAGTAGCCTAGTAGCTACTAGGATGTAGCATTCAGGACTTCTTGGTTTGCAAAAAGGAAAATTAAGAGGTGGCATGACGGAAGTTTATAAAATTATGCATGGCCTGGGAAAAGTTGAAAGAGAAACGTTTTTCTCACTTACATCACACTAGAACTCATGGATAACTGATGATGCTAAAGATTCAGGACAGATAAAAGAAAACACTTCTTCATGCAGTGCATAGTTAAACTATGGAAGTCACCCCCCACAGGAGACAGGCAGGGCCACCAACTTGGATGGCTTTAAAGGAGAATTACACCAATTCATGGAGGCTTCCATGGTTGGAGGCAATACTGCTTCTGAATACAGTAAGCCCCCAACTTACGCACATTTAACTTGTGCACACTGAGCTTTATACACGTGACAAAGGGGGTGGAAAGGGGGCTGGGTATTGGGGGGAAATGACTTGGGCAATCCAATGCCCCATTGAACCCAGTGGGTTTTGACTATACATGATTTTGGCTTTAGGCTTGATCCCCAGAACATAACTCCCACTCAAGTTGTGAGCTTACTGTACCAGTTGCAGGAAACCACAGGAGTGCCCTTGCACTCAAGTCCAGCTTGCAATTTCCCACAGGTATCTGGTTGAGCTGTGAGAACAGGATGATGGATAAGATGGGCCATTGATCTGATCCAGCAGGCTCTTCTTATGCTTTATGAGGGCTACTGCCCTCATATCCTGCTTGTGGGATTGTCATGCACATAGGACTGACCATGGTGGGGACTGGGATGCTGGGATAGATGGGCCTTTGATCTGATCCAGCAGAGCTCTTATGTTCTAGGGAGAGTGGCTCTATGCGTGCCATCATCTATGATTCTATTATTCTTTTATTTACTGAACCAGCTACAGTTATTTCCACACCTGGGTAGTTATTACAGTTGAGGAAAAACATCTGACGGGCTCTAATGCAATACGGGAGGAAAATATCCTTCACAAACTAGCCCTTCAATTCACTCAGTAAGAAAAACAGAAAGGTGTTCTCTCTCTCTCTCTCTCTTCCTTTGATTTTGGAACATTTCCACATTTGGGGAATCAGGGACAGTCCAGAGCAGAGACTCCACAACAAACCTTCACTTCACACATCCGTCTGTCTGACTGCATATTTGGAGATGAAATAAGCTTTGCCCGAGATTAGGTAAGGAAGCGACCCTGTATTTTGTGACATGTGTTAAGAGGGGGGCGAGGTTCACCATGTGCATCTCAAGCTACTGTGCCATATTAAAAATATCAGTGGGAGAATAATTCCAATTCTAATTTGTATATTGCTTTGAAGTGTCCATATGCATCAATCACCTCAATAGTCCTTACTTGTGAGGTAGCTTAGTAACATGCAAATAAATGCAAAACAAAAGTAAAAAAATGTGGCTGAGATACTGGTTTAATTAAACTAGTGGTGGTGAACAAGGAAACAAAGACTTCATGGCATCAGTCCTCAGGAGAGCTGGAGATAATGTTTATGATTCCTTATATACCCAAGATTATGTGACTAAAATCTGAGACTTGTTACTTTTCTTTGTTATATTCTCCTGCAAAGAATATTAAAGGAACCTTTCCTTAATCATGCAGCCTCACTTTTTTTTAAAAAAAGGTCCCACAAGTACAACATAGCAGCACACTGCAGCTTTAACAGCTTCAGGCTATTTTAGGGGCTAGGATGTAGACAGTAACATTTGATATCTTACAAGAGCAGCCCCAATTTCACACTTACGTGGAACTCTGTAGTATTGAGAATGTGACGGCCATCCGGACTCCAGCAAGAAGCCACGAGTCCCGCTGAGCCTTCATCGATCTTGCAGTGCCAATCAGGCTGCTCCAAGGACCAGACCTAAGGCAAGGGAGGAAGAACAGTCAAGTCAGTGCTAACTTGAACAAGGCACCCAAAGCCCTACCAGCTTCCTCTCAAGAATCACTCTTCAACAGAAAAAGACAAGCCCACCAGCAAAAGACCATGAAAGACTGGCGCTGGATCCCACTACAGAGGTAAGCCTTTTCTTCTTCTTTACATCCAGTTAGATCCACAAAACTATTCCAAAAAAGCATCTGTAAAGATCAAGAGGTTTGTTGTGGCACAGGATTGTATAGGCCTCCAGTAAAGATGGTGGCTGTCTTTAAGAGATCTGGACCACAATATATTTGTTTGACTTTAAAGATGCCACAGAGCTCTGATATGATTAAAGACCCACCACACATTAAAATTTCAAAAAATTGAAAGGGTTTGCTTAAATTATTTTTTGTTTATTGAATTTACATACTGCCCTATTTATATGGTGCTTTTCAGATGCAAAGTGCTTCACAACAGGCTCACACTTATCAAGTTGCCTGTGGCAAGCATGAATCACCTCCAGGTGACCAGGCAGGGAAATTTTATAACTGGTCTTTCATTAAGAATGATGTTGTTTCACTAAGTATATGTGAGCCATTAAAATAAAATGTATGGGCTAGGAAGTTTTGTGAAATTACTTTCAAGTCTGCTTTGCTAAGCATCACCTTGATGGTCCACCACTGCTATTCCCAGTTTGTAAATGATGATACCAAGCAAGGCTAGAAATCAGCTGGATCCTTAACCTAGCTGCCCAGCCCAGTCATTGTCCACAGGAATGACAGCAGCTGTTTCTTTCTGAAACTAGCGAAACCCTAAGGCTACTTAAAAACCACAATTTTGCATCAGGGGACGTAGTTTGTTTGTTTCTGGAAAAGACATGCTCTTTTCAACCTTTTCAATCTAGCTCTGTACTGTGTTATAGTGACTGGGAGCAGCAATACAGGATTTCAGGGAGAAGCCTCCCTCAGCCCTACCTGGAGATGTCAGTGGTTGGACTTGGGATCTTCTGCATACAAAACAGAGATGCTCTGCCACTGAGATATGGTCCTTCCCCTAAACATTAAAAATTCTAGTCCTCATGTTTCTGAATAAAGACCTGATATTAATAGGAAGCTGCTTTAAACAAGGTCAGGCCAATGGTACAACCACACTAGCTGGTAGAGGCTTTCCATGGTTTCAAGAAGACTCTCCCATCCCTATCTAAAGATGCCAGTTTGAACTTGGGGGCATTCTGTAGGTAAAGTGCATTTGTTTCCTCAGCACCTATATTAAATACTTGCTGCTTAACACCATCAGTTTAGAAACTGGCAAGTTCCAGAAAAGAAAGCATATTGCATGGGTGCCCACCTGCACAATTCCACGCTTGTACATTGCACATAATATAAAAAGAGAATCTGAAGACCACTCAATGTGCTGGATTTGGTCTAGGCAGGTGAAGAGCTGCAGAATTTGGAGAGTGTTTACATCACGAACCACCAAACGATACTGGACACCGGAGGCCTGAATAGAACAAAAAATGAATAACTTAGCTGTGCCGTTTTAGCTGAATGACAGGGGGCAAAATTATTTCAGATGTGATTCCTAAATCCTCTAGTATTAGAGACAGGAGAAACCATCAGAAAGCCTGTAGAATAAAATGAAAGCTCTACAAAATATAGACTGATGACATACCGCAGGCCTGTCATGCAGTAAAAATAACTGATTTGTCAATTGCCAATTAATATATTAAATGTACCTGTTTTACAAATTTCAATATAGGTGCTTATTTGATATCAAATGAGGTGTAAGAAAAATATCTTAGGTTTTAATAGGAGCTGCCACTCCTACCACAGGGACTGCAAAAGAAAGGCAATCTTTCATACTTTCTTTTGCATTCCCTAGTTTGTAACACAGCAAAACTACACATACACAAAGATTTTTAGACCCACCGACAGATTTTCTGATGAGCTTCAGTAACTACAAGCCCTGAAATTTAGAGTCCGCTCCCAAACCTTTGTAGGGTTTTGTAGTCATTTAGCAGGGTTTTGTAGGGTGAATCACACATTTTGTAGGGCCCCTCAAACCAGAGGACATAGGTATCCCCCAGAAAGCCAACTTGGTCTGGTTCATAGTTAATGAAGCTCTCCTGATGGCTTCAGTGGAAGTCTCTACCCCCATACACATAGCTTGGTTCACACGTAACTTCAGCCAACAACAAAGAAACTATCCTTAGGCCTATGCAGGACAACCAATGAAATAAATGCAGCGGCTTCTCCAACTGTAACTCATCACACAAGCTTCAGTTGCTGAAGCTCCCTTTTCTACGTAACTATTACAGGTGCAGAAGCCCCCTCCTCTTTTATATCTGAACAGCTTCGGTTTATGCACTCCTCCCCCTCTTGAACTTCCTCGTCCTTGGCAAACCATTGTTTGTCATTTCATCTGAACAAGGCAAACTATGGTTTGCTACAAAAGAAGTGGTGCAAGTGGGGGAGAGAAGAACCCAAAATTGTTCATTTAAACCAAACTGGGGGTATTGGAATAGATCAGAGGGGTTGACACTCCAAGAAGCAATGCACAGGACTGCAGCTCTAAACAGCTACACCATTTCTGCATACTAATGTCGCAGTAAACGTGCACTTCTGCAGATATACAACAAGGAACAGATTTCACATCATCATAATCCAGGTTGTTAGAACTACTAACCAAACATAGTAATAAAAGCTTATAAATTAAAAGACAAGACACATTAAGTAGGAAAGAGAAGGGGGCCCAGAGGTGGCGCTGATTAAAATGATTGTTATTTAAAATCACAGCCAATTTATACTTTGATATTACTATGCACATCTTCTGGGAAGAGATTTCCTGGTCTCATTTAAAAACAGTTAAGAATTTAATGGGCAAATGTCATACAAGGTTGCTAACTAGGTGGAAAGGCTCATTTTATGGATGCTGCTCTCCTCAGCAGAAATCAGATACTGTTTGGCTAAGGCTGTCCCAACATAAAACTGAGTTAGAACATGAAAATCATGTGTATTATCATCAAATATCAAAGCCACCCCTGGTCCCCACATCTCCCATCCTTCCCTGAATCCACATTCAACCCCCCTTGTCTGCCCACTCTTAGTCCTTGCCCCCACCAACCCATTATCTGTAAAATAGATACACACAGGCACACCACAAGGCTAAGCTCACCAAGCATTTTCCATCCGGAGAGAACCTGCACAACTGACTGGAGAGTTTAAATACCTCGGAGAAATTCATGTTGACCAACTAACAAGGGAGAAGGGGAGCCTAGCGAATGAGCAGGACCAAATCTAGTCTCCCAAGGGCGGAAGGCCTGTTCCTCTGGCTTGTGGTAGAGGCTATGGAACAGGGAGTTTTCACATTGCAGTTTTGCTCCAAGCAGAGAGCAATGGTTCTGTGTAAGGTCTGTCCTAGGAAGCGGAGTGGAGGAGATATCCAGCAGATACTGGGAAAGATGCCATTTCCCATAAAGAAATGTGTATGCGTGTGGGTGAAGGGGCGATATGAACTAGCCCAGCTTTGGGAAATATATAATATAGAGGTATCCAGAATAGTAGAGACTTGCCCACAGGATGCTGTATTTTGAGAAGTCTCAGAAAGTAGGGGAGGGGGACACATACAGAGGGAAAGAAATTTTCAAAATAAAAACACAGCCTCAAATGAGAAGGTGCTGCCCATCAATGTCTAGGAGATGGAGGGGGGGTGAGAATTTGAGTAAGAGGAGGGAGGACACCAAGGAAGGAGTGGATGACACCGACGCCAAAAAAAACAACAACCTGGCAGATATATAATATATATCATTATCCCCAATAGAAGAAAAGAGGGGAGAGGTCCTCCTCAAAACTGTTGAATGCAACTCTTAAGGTCTCAAAGGATGCCAAAGAACTGTCCCCTGAAGAAAAGGAAGGAGGTACAAAAGACCCCTAACCCACGCAAAAAAAGGAATATAGAAAAACGGGGTAGGGCGGGAATACACCTCAGAAGAAAAGATGCCGCCCCTTTCAAGGGAATAATAAGTTTCAAGGGAATAATTTGCCCCCCAGAAAGAAAAAAGGGGAGGAAGAGAGGAAAGGACCCCCAGCCTCAAAACACAAGTAGGGTGTGTGGCCCACACACTTAGGAAATTACCCACAATTTAAAAAAGGGGGGAGGTTTGGTCTTTGAAGTGAGGAAGAAACTGGAACGCCCCCCCCCAAAAAAGAGAATAATAAAGGAAGAGAGGTGACCCACCCACCCAGCCACCCTTCTGAGCAAAGGGGGCTGATTTGTAAGGCGCCCCCGCTGCCCCCTCACTGACAGAGGGGGTAAGACCACCACCCAAAAAAAGAGCCCCCCGCCTCTCTCTCTCTCTCTGCGGGGTGGGCGGTGGAATGGGGTGGGGGAGGGGAAGGCGCAGCTGCCGAAGCGAAGAGGCGGCCTCGCGCCCGCTTCAAAGCCGCCCGCCAATCAACCGGCTCTTCCCGGGCCGGAAACAGTTATCCGCTCCCTTCCGGAAAAGGCATGGGGTGGGGAGGAGGCCGCGAGGCACGCTGGGAGGTGTAGTTCTGCAGGGTGCGCGGACTCTCGAGCTAGGAAGCAAGCTAGGAAGGTCGCCGAGGAGTTGTCAGCTGGCCGGCTTGCAGAGAAGGGGACGCTGCTTTTATTGTTGGTGATAATGAAGATTCCACTAGGCCAGTAGGGGAGATTAGATAGATAGATAGATAGATAGATAGATAGATAGATAGATAGATAGATAGATGATAGATAGATAGATAGATGTGTGTGTATATGTATATATGAATATTATATATATATATATATATATATATATATATATATATTATTATATTTAGATATAGATATATATCTCTGTGTTCAAGCAAATAAAACAAAAGTCATGTAGAAAGCAGTTTACTGGTTAGACTCACAGGGGGTCAGCAATCTTTTTCAGCAGGGGGCCAGTCCACTGTCCCTCAGACCTTGTGGAGGGCAGGACTATATTTTTTTTTTGGGGGGGGGGAATAAATGAATTCCTATGCCCCACAAATAACCCAGAGATGTAATTTAAATAAAAGCACACATTCTACTCATGTAAAAACACACTGATTCCCGGACCATCTGCGGGCCAGATTTTGAAGGCGATTGTGCCGGATCCGGCCCCGGGGCCTTAGTTTGCCTACCCATGGATTAGAGAATGAGATCCAGGAGAGAGACCAGGCTTCAAATCACCCCACCCAGGCATGAAACTCACTGGGTGCTATGGGGTGGGGGTGGGATGGGCAGTCTCTGCTTCTTAGCCTAGCCCAGGGTTTTGCAACCTTTAAGACAAAAAGAGCCACTTGGACCTGTTTCCAAAGAAAAAAACAACTGGGAGCCGCAAAACTCGTCATTATAAAAATAACTTTTTTGTCACTTTTTTATTATTTCTTTGTTTGACCCCTCAGAATTACTCCTCCTCATAGAAATAAACGTTAAATTAACAAGTTACCTTTTTGTGTGTGTGTGTTCTTCACTCCCCTTCAAAACAGTGACCAGCGTACATGCCCCCTTTCAATGCAGTGACCAGCATACATGCCCCTTACAATGTAGCGGGCGGGCGGGTAGGTGACGTTGGGACGGTGCATGACTAATGCACGCACCGCCCCCATGCGACGTCACAGCCAGTACAGCGCCTGCCACAGTGGGGAGTGTCGGGCGCACAATGCGCCTCCTCCCCTCGCTAGTATCTGCCCCGGAGCCGCAGCAAAGGTGTAAAAGAGCCACATGCGGCTCTGGAGCCGCGGGTTGCAGACCCCTGGCCTAGCCCATTTGCAGAGTTTTATGATTAAACCACAAAATTATGGTGTGTGGGATTTCGGATACAGTTTTGATACAATGGTGAAAGACTCTCTTTCGGTTCCAGCATGGGGGCCAACACGCTCAGGAAAGTTACCAGCTCGCTCAGGTTTGCGCAACTCATACTCTGCACTCACCTGTCTTTCTCATTTGCGGAGGAAAGAGCAACTAAGAGAAGGTAGTCCATGGCCTGTGACAATGGTAAGAGTTGGAAGGGACCTCAAGGGTCATCTAATCCTCTGCAGTGCAGGAATTGCACCTAAAGAATCTCTAACTGGTGGGCAAAAGATTCCTATATTGCAGGGGCTTGGAGCAGGTGACCTGGGTGGTCCCTTCCAACTCTGTGTGATTCTATGATTCTGACCTCTGTTTAAAAACCTCAAATGGAGGAGAGTGCCCCACCTTCCAAGTAAGTCCTTTCCACTGTCAAACAGCTCTTAATATCAGGACATTCCTCCTAATGTTTAGTCGGGATCTCCTTCTTTCTTGTCCTTTGAATCCATTGGTTTGGTCCCCACCCTCTGTAGCAGTAGCAAACAAGCTTGCTCCATCTTCCATGTGGCAGCCCTTCAGATATTTGGAGGACAAATGCTGTATCCCACCTTGAACTGTATGGAGAAAAAGGTAGGATAGAAATGCAATAAATAAATGAAATAAATAATATGACGTTTCAGCCATAAACAGATAAAATCCACTCAATGGCAATTCAGACAAGGGCTGTAGCGCATTTGTTTTGCATGCAAAACGTCACAGGTTCAATCCTGGACAAATCCAGAAAGGGCTGGAGGACTCTTTCCTGAAAACCCAGAAAGCTGCTTCCAGTCAGTGTAGGAAATATAGAGCTAGTTGGACCCCTGCTCTGATTCGGCAGCTTCCCCTGTTCCTGATTAAACTGCATTTCATCAAGAACCACAGCGTCAACTTTGCAGGTACAGTGGTACCTCGGGTTAAGAACTTAATTCATTCTGGAGGTCCGTTCTTAACCTGAAACTGTTCTTAACTTGAGGTACCACTTTAGCTAATGGAGCCTCCCGCTGCCGCAGCGCCGCCACCACGCAATTTTCATTCTCATCCTGAAGCAAAGTTCTTAACCCAAGGTACCATTTCTGGGTTAGCGGAGTCTGTAACCTGAACCATCTGTAACCCGAGGTACCACTGTAGAAGCTCCCGGTGTCTCTGAAGAGGGCTGGGAATATCTCCTGTCTGAAACCCTAGAAAGCTGCTGCCAGTCAGTGTAGAAACTACCAAGCCAGATGGACCAAAATTTTGACTCAATATCAAGCAGTTTTCTGGGTTCCTAATTAGGTTTTCAGGGGAAAGCCATAGCTCAGTGGTAAAGCATAGCTATGGTTTTCCCAGTAGTGATGTTTGGAAGTGAGAGCTGGACCATAAAGAAGGCTGATCGCCGAAGAATGGTTGCTTTTGAGTTATGGTGCTGGAGGAGACTCTGGAGAGTCCCATGGACTGCAAGAAGATCAAACCTATCCATTCTTAAGGAAATCAGCCCTGAGTGCTCACTGGAAGGACAGATTGTGAAGCTGAGGCTCCAGTACTTTGGCCACCTCATGAGAAGAGAAGACTCCCTGGAAAAGACCCTGATGTTAGGAAAGATTGAGGGCACAAGGAGAAGGGGACGACAGAGGACGAGATGGTTGGACAGGGTTCTCGAAGCTACCAGCATGAGTTTGACCAAATTGCGGGAGGCAGTGGAAGACAGGAGTGCCTGGCGTGCTCTGGTCCATGGGGTCACGAAGAGTCGGACATGACTAAACAACAACAACAACAACAAAGCATCTACTTTGCGTGCAACAGATCGCAGGTTCGATCCCTGGTATATCCTGAGAGGGCTGGGAATGTCTCTGGTCTGAAACCTGTCAGTCAGTGTAGTACACAATACTGAGCTTGATGGACCCAACCCTCTAGTTCTATGTGGTACGTTGCATGCAGAAGAAGGTCTCAGATTCAGTCTCCAGGCAGGGATTGGAATGCCCCCTCCCCGTTAAACCGCTGCCAGTTATTTTCCTAATGGAGAAACGCTGGCCTGCTTTCCCACTCAGCAAACAGAAAAAACACACAAGCGATTCCCGGGAAAAAGCGCGCCACCTTCCTAACGATCATCTGGGCAAACAGAGCTGCTCCGCCCCCAGCTATTTCTCTCTCTCTCTCTCTCTCTCTCTCTCTCTCTCTCTCTCTCACACACACACACACACACACACACACACACACACACACACACCAGTCCATTCGTCGCCCTTTAATTCCCAAATACAATTTAAAACCCAGACAAAAAATTCCTTCTCCCTCCCTCGCACCCCTCTCTCCTCTCTCCGTCCGATTTGCTCAGATCATGCATCCACAATCTGGATCTAATTCTTAGGATAAACTCGCTTTTCAGTCCTGTGCAGATTTTCTTGGAAGTCCTACATTCAGAGGAGGTTTACTCCCAGGGAAGTGGGCGCGTAGGATTGCAACCAGGCTGAGCCTTGCAAAAAAAAAATAAAGGGTTCGCAAAAATGAGAGAGGTTTCTCTCTCTCTCTTTAATCGAAAGAGGTAGGCTATAAATATTTATTAGAGAAAAGAAAGGAAGTCGGTGGGGATTATACCTTCCTTCTTCCCATTACTCGGAAGTAAGTCCCGCCGAAATCAGTGGCACCTCCTCCCAGGTAATGCGTGCAAAGCCGACAAGGGAGTAGCCAATATATTTTTTTGTTAGGGGGTGCAGGCCTTTTGGTTTTTGGGGGTGCGGAGGAGAACCTCAGTTAGCAATGAATTTTTATTTATTTATATTGATGGGGGCATCTGCACCCCGCACGCCCATGATAGCCGGTACTCTGCTGTGCTCCAGGTATGTGAAATCACATCTTCCTGACGCCACGTGTGTGTATATTTCTTCCTTTGGGGTTAGGTCGGTGTGCCTATGCCCTATGCATTGGTGTCCAAACTTTTTTCAAAGAAGGCCAGATTTGATGAAGTGAAGGGCCCTGAGGGCCGACCAAAGTTGCTTTTTTTAGGGTTGGAGTTGTTGAGAGGTTTTTTTTTTTTGGATTTTACCCCAGGAAATAAACCGCCACAGGGGCCGGATTAAACCGATCAGCCGGCCGGATTAGGCCCCCGAAACGGACTTTGGACATGCCTGGGCTATTGAGTTCTAGTCCATGACAAGCTTCAGTCCATTAATTTCAATGGTTCTACTCTGAGTAGGACCGGACAAGGCACATCATGACTTCCTCAAGGGATAACAAGTCCCCCAGAGTTCATGTTACATACATTAAAGTCTCCAAATGTCCATATTATTGCCTTTGTGTGTGTGTGTTTTAAGTCTTTGCTGAGTGCATTTGTAATAAAGTTATGCCTATATTGATTGATTGTATTTCCAATGCTGCTTTTCATTCAAATGAAGCCTAAAGCGGCTTACAAATAATAAATAACAACGGAGTGAATCGTATAACATAATCATAAAAGGTAAAGGTAAAGGTACCCCTGCCCGTACGGGCCAGTCGTGTCCGACTCTAGGGTTGTGCGCCCATCTCACTTAAGAGGCCGGGGGCCAGCGCTGTCCGGAGACACTTCCAGGTCACGTGGCCAGCGTGACGAAGCTGCTCTGGTGAGCCAGCACCAGCGCAGCACACGGAAGCGCCGTTTACCTTC